AAGATTGATGGGCTAATTTGCTGGGGACAGAAGTAGGACGGGGTAGGTGTGATGCAGGTATGACGGTGACAGGAATAGTGATGAGTCCAGAGCAGATGGCTGCTATGAAACTTGGAAGGAACATAGAAACCAGACTGCGGAAGGTCTTAAATGCCAAAGGAGAGCTGTGTGTTATGAGAAATGTGAAGGTTTCTGAGATCAATATGCAACATTTTAGGAATCTTTTTTTAAAAAATAAGTCATATAGGAAGAGACAGCAAGAGAGATAGATGAGTCAGTTGCATTTTAGCAATAGCCTGGGTAGCTAGGATGGAAGCAGCCTGTTGCAAGGATACTGTGAATGAAAAATAAAGGTCATTGTGCTAAAAGGGGCGGGTAAACCACAAGTAATTCCCAGGTTTCATTCCCTATGATAATCACTGTCCCACTGACAATAAATCCAAAAGGAAAGCAGGTTTATGTTTGAAGGAGCAGGGCCAGCAGGCAAATGAAGGGGAAGGCTCAATCTCCAACTCATTGGCCAACACCAACTATACAGAAAATCATACATTTTCTCCTATTTTGTTCTCTTGCTCAATACAGGGGGGAAAGAATTAGTATTCTAAACTGGTCATTGATCATACTGTACCCACAATGATTTATCAATAATCACCCTAAATAAAGAAATTTTCCTTGAGAATATTCAAAAACAGATCTAGCTAACACCTCAGACTCATCAGCCTCTTTCTTACTCGTCTTGCTGCATGATTCATAAAAACAATTACCTCTACCCTTCAGCCCCTCATCAGCCAAGCTTAAGTCCTTTGACCTGTCTCATTACAGACTCATTATAGTTCTCACTTTCAGCACACTGGGAAAATTTTAGAACATAAATCTTTTTCCTTTCCCACTGACCCCAGTCTCCAACAAGCCTTGTAAGCTTGCTACTTTTGAAGTTAACAGTATCTGTATGTTTGTTCCATTCAAAGAATGAACATCAAATTATTTCCTGATATAGACTTAGTACAATCAGACGATGAAAGTGTCTAGTTTAAAATGCAGCAGGAAGATGTCCAGACTATGTAGGACAACATATCTGTTCACAGAATATCAAATGAGCTGGTCTATCAGGGGAGGTGGCACAGTGAAGGGTAAAAGTGCAAGGCTCAACTCAGACTGCCTAAGTTTGAAACTCCCACTACTTCAACTCTGGCAAGCTTAACCTCTCTGAACCTCAATTTTTCCATCTGTAAAATGGAGATAATCCTGCAGGATTCCACATTAGGAGAAATTCTTACTGTACCTTAGCATCCTTACTACAGTTATTTCTCATTTACTGACGGAACCTTATATTGCTCTAGGTCAGTGGTTCTCAACCTCTGGCCCTTTAAATACAGTTCCTCATGTTGTGACCCAACCATAAAATTATTTTCGTTGCTACTTCATAACTGTAATGTTGCTACTGTTATGAATCGTAATGTAAATATCTGATATGCAGGATGGTCTTAGGCGACCCCTGTCAAAGTGTCGTTCGATCACCAAAGGGGTTGCGACCCACAGGTTGAGAATCGCTGCTCTAGGTCAAAGAGGGAGGAATAGGCAAACCTTTTCTGCAAAGGGTGAGGCAGTGATATTTTCCGCCCTGCTGGCCAGATGGTCTCTGTTGCAACTACTCAACTGTGCTATTGTGGCACAAAGCAACCAGACAGCATGCAAACAAATGAGCATGGTAGCTGTGTTCCAATACTTTATTTATAAAAACTGAAATTTAATCTCATATATTTCATATGCTAAAGTACAGCTTCCTGTGACACCCATCATAAACTGAAATGGCATAAAGCGAAGAGTATACCCACTTCCCCAAAACTCACATTATGCCACTTTGCTTTTACCAAAGACCTGCTTTAATATGGTAACAGTTTTCGTAAAAGCAAAAATCTTTGGTTTCACTCAGCTAGTGAAAACAGGTACTAATGTAGGTCTCCTATAAAAGCCAAGAGGCATAATGTGGACTTTCAGAACGTAAAGGATACCGATATCATTCTCTCTTAACTTTTTTCAGCCATTTAAAAATGTAAAAGCCATACTTAGTTTGCAGGCCATAGAAAAACAGTCGGGGGACCAGATTTGGCCTATGGGAGGGAGTCTGCCAGCCCCTGCTCCAGATTAACCAGTTTATGGGCTTTGGAAGCTTTCTGGGGGCAGGGAAATTGAAATACAGGTTCATGATGCAGAAGAGGAAACTTCTAAGTATAATTTTTAAAAAGGACATTTAAAGCTGTCATTCACTTATTAACACTAAACTTGACTATGGGCAAGGCACTTTTGGAATCACACACCGTGGGAATCAAAGATGGAGAAGTCCTAGTCCCTGCTCCCAAGGAATGCACGCTTCTTCACAGCCTAGATACTGAAAGTCTTCCTTCAAAACACAATCTATCCAATCTATCCAATTTTGCAGCACATACAGGCATATTCATATAAGGGGCAGGTAGCTGCTCTGGTTACCCCACCTACAGCCTACGCCAAACCTAGTTATCCTGACCACCCTGCTTCCTCCTGTCTTCGATTTTACTACCAGTTCTTTTCCTCTCCCCCAAATTACTCTGTTTTGCATGATCATTGGGGATATCGTGATATACTAAAGAGAACAAGACAACTGGCCCCATCTTTAAAAAATGACCATAAAGTAGCCTTCAGTGATACCATGTCCCTTTTAATAGATAATATGTTAGTGGCGCCTATGGTTTTTCATTTCAATCCAGGTAGAAATTTGTCCCTAAGGAACAGGTTAAACAGATTTATTTTGGGGCAAAAAAAAAAAAAAGACCTCAGAAAAGATTTTTTCCCAGCAAATGTTTTCAAGTATTTTATCCAAAAGAACACAAAACAAACCACGGACAAAATACAGTGCTCTGGTATATACCTCAGTTGGTTCTAAAGATTGTGCATCTGAAATAATACAACAGAAACCTAGTATCTCAATGTATCAGAACAAGTGAAAAGTAGAGAGCAAAAAATTAACATAGCTGATTGTTAAAGAAAAAAACAAAAGGTTTTTTGTAAAGAATAAATAATATTAATATCATTATAGTATATAGTATATATTACAATACTAAAGAAAATAAAACCTGACAATAAATTATTATTATTGATTTTCTGAAATACTAGATGGCATTCATCTCTTAAGCATTTCCCTTGCAAAAATCAAAAAGTATAAAGTAGTATTCCCTATGTTTAATTTCATCTCATCAGAACAGGCATGATTAACAGTTTCAGCAAAATCCAATGAAAAGTCCACTTGGCCCAACCTGCGTGGCTCAATGGTTGAGTGTTGACCTATGAACCAGGAGGTCACAGTTCAATTCCCGGCCCGGGTCGGGTGGGGCATGCAGGAGGCGGCCAATCATGATTCTCTTTCATCATTGATATTTCTATCTCTCTGTCCTTCCTCTCTGAAACCAATAAAAATATATTAAAAACAAAAGTCCAATTGACACCAGTTATATCAAATTGGAGGGAAGGGCAGAGACTCAACAAAGCAATTAACAATGAGTTCAGAGGAACGTGAGGTCAGCAAGATGAAGGGCTAGGCAGTTCCAATGCTCATCTTCCCACAAAAACAATAAACTACAAACCAACAAGGGCAAGGGATGGGGAAAATGGGATGACGTAGGACAAAGGGTACAGACTTTCAGTTATAAAAAGAATAAATTCTGAGGATCTAATGTACAACAAGGTAACAATGGTTAATTAAACAGTATTATATCCTTGAAAGTTGCTGAGACCTTAGGAATTCTTACCACCAAAAAAAAAAAAAAAATATGAGGTGATACATGTGTTAACTATTTTGATCTTGGTAATCCTTTTACAATGGGTATCAAATGATCACATTTACACTTTAAATATGTACAATTATATTTGTCCATTATTTCTGCATAAAGTCTAGAAAAATGAATTAGGACTATAAAGCATCACCAGATAAAATATTTGGTTGAGCCTAAGGATATTGAGAGCTTATAATGTTGAGGTCTTAACAATAAATATAAAATGAGCTTCTTGGTACTTGGGTACTTAGCAAAAAGAAAAATCAGCAAAGAAATTGGCAGCTTGACTTCAAAAGAAACAAAAAAGGAGGTCAAGGTAATATTTCTTTGTCATTCTCAGATTTCCCACTTGCAGCTTCAGCTATTGATGAGCAACTCTGGAAGCTGGTGAAAGGTAATTCCAGTTTTGCCATGGCCATGAATTTGAATTCTATGGTAATGTGGTTAATGTGGCAAAATCACCCAAGGAGTTTGTCAAATGGATCTCCTAGCATCCACATTTCAATAGTGATTTGCTATTCTCTGCCATGGCACAGTAGCTCAGCAAGTATTTGAAGGAAATTCTTTAAAACTTTCAGTAATATCATATGGTATATTATATGGTGATATTTGTTATTCAAAAATCTCAGCATATATTCACTTCACCTCCAGAGTTTACTGTAAAAACCTAAAACTTCTAAATGTTTCACTATACTCCACATCAGTTTGTCTAAGGGCATCATATACCCCTGTGCCTTCTATTGTCCACCTGTTATTCTCTATTATGCTGATTCTACAAGTACTGCCCAAGGGCAGAAATTCATTCTTTTAAGTAAGAACCCTACAACACTGTGTATATTTTCATACCAAGAAAAATACCTACTTTTATCCTATCCATCAGGGTTGAAAAACCTCTATAAAATTCATTTGATTATAACACATAAATCATTAAAATAAAGTAGCATCACAATTATTAAAAAAGAAAAAAGCAATGTCAATGAAAATGCTCCATGGGAAAAAATGCCAATGAAATTGTTCATGAAAGCTATAGGGGAAAATGCAAGTCTGAAAATACGTATTTTTAGCTTCTAAATAAAAAGAGTTTTCCTTTCTCAACTCTGTGAACACATTTTTGTTTTTACAACTAGTTAAAAATTAACTATTCAATATTTAGTGGTCACTATGTAAAATCAGTTTTTAATAATTAAAACATGGTAGAAAGCATTACTTGACTTTATTAACCTCACTCACAATGTTGAATACAAATGAAAAATTATGACCCTTAGTTTTTAAGTCTACTTCAAAGCATGGTCTCTTAGATTTAAGAATTAGGGCAGATATATGTCATGAGAAGGAGTGGAATCAAAAAGCCAAGTCCCCAAATCCCACTGATTTATCTGTGTATTATAAAGTCTGAGGTATAGCCCTGATATTCCTTTAAATGGTACTTTCTTCTGACTTGCCATTGTCATCAGTGCTAAATTTTTAACCAGACCCTATAATCTATCACAAGTCTTACAATTATAAATTGAAAACAAACACAGACAAGTATGTGTACCAAGTACTTTATGAAATTCACCACAAACAGTTGAACTTCACATATAAACTTCAAAAATCAATAGGACTATAATATTCTTAGAAACCAAAAGCTATATAAGGTCCACCTTCCAACCTTTTCTGCAATTAAGAAATAATTTGATCTAATGATGTTAATGTAGAAATACATTATATATTTTAACTCAGTAAGAGATGACAATCAAAGGGAAACTCAATAAACCTTTGCATTTAAAACCAAAAGAAACACATCTTAGACACCTTAAACTATAAAATTCAGTTCTAAAGGAACTGTTACTGTGTAACAATTACTGCTCATATAAAAGTGCTGGTGACAAATAATTCAATATGCCCTCTCCACAGAATCTGTTCACGTATATGTATCTATAACTGTAAATAAGATTTTATATCTAAGGTGCTTAAATTTTGCACTGCAAGACTAGTTCAATAAGTATTCATCTGCTACCCCTTTGTAGCAACTCCAGTTATAGTGAATGATCCATGGGCAAAAGGCAAAAATGCTGTTATTTTCTAGAATGTGGCATTTGTGGAGGTGGAGCGCCCTCTATTGGTAATGAGGAAGACACACTCATTAACTGTCCTGCATGCATTTTTTCATTAATTCGGAGTTCGCATCCATCCTGAAGCATTCGAACTGCTATTCGGGCAATATTCTTGGAGTCATCAAGGCCACTGTGTGGCCGCCCATCATAATCCATTCCTAGTTTTTCAAGCATTATTGTCAGCTTGGTTTGGCCTCTAGGAACCTGAAAAATAAACAAACAATAAATAATTCTTTATTATTCTAACTGTGACTATGAAGTAAAAAAATAAGAAAGAAAATTAATAGTAATAGCTAAATAAAGTTAAGCAAAGGGCAAATACTCCTGGTTAAAGTAAATTAATAATACAAACCTCCATGGCTCTAGTATTTTGGATGAAAATATATATTGACAGGTGAAATCCTCAAGACATCTAAAAAGTTTACAGTTTTATAATTTAACAAATCATTTATAAAAGGAAATGTGTTGTTCTTCTAAACTGAAGCTCTACCATTTTAACCCAAACTAATTCTTTTTCACATGGTATTTTTCTGTAATGTATTATTTTACTTGAATGACTCCTTAGACACAGATACCAAACATATCTGGCTCAGTTGGTTGGAACATCGTCCCGTGCACCAAAGGGTCTCAGGTTCGATTCCTAGTCAGGGCACATACCCAGGCTGTGGGTTAAGTCCCGGGTCAGGGCATGTATGGGAGGCAACTGATCAATGTTTCCCTCTCACATTAATGTTTGTTTCTCTCTCTCCCTCTCCCTTCTTCTCTCTTTAAAGTCAATAGAAAACATATCCTTGGTGAGAATTTTTAAAAAAAGAATGAAAGACAATGCCATGTATTTTTCAGCCTATTTAAATACCCGCTCCATTTAGATCAGTGGTCGGCAGACTGCGGCTCAGCAAACCGAGGCTCGCGAGCCACATGCGGCTCTTTGGCCCCTTGAGTGTGGCTCTTCCACAAAATACCGATTTCTGCACATGGGCCACGAAGTTTCAATCGCACTGTACGTGCGCGTCCGCACGTGATATTTTATGCAAGAGCCACACTCAAGGGCCCAAAGAGCCACGTGTGGCTCGCGAAGCCGTGGTTTGCCGACCACGGATTTAGATAAATATAAAAATCTCACACACTCCTTAAATTTCACTTTTGAGAATCACTATACATCAATTGGTTGCCTCCTGCACAGGCCAGGGAGGAGCCTGCAACTGATGTACATGCCCTTGACCAGAATTGAACCCAAGGCCAATAGAGTGTCCGCAGGCCAACACTCTATCCACTGAGCCAAACCGGCTAGGGTAGAATTACATTTTAAATGTATGGTAATACCAGATGCTGGCAAAAACGTGAAACAATTATCAATTCATATATTCTTCAGGTGAAAAGTGCAAACTGATGTAACTCCTTTGGAAAACTCTATTTGCATTATCTAGTAATGCCAATGATACACATGTCCTATACCCAAGCAATTCCACTCCTAGGTTTATAGCCTAGAGAAATGAGTGCACAAAAACACAAGAAGACATACACAAGAATGTTCCTAGCACTACTGTTCATAAAAGCCTCAAACCGAAACCCAAATGGCCAGCCAAAGTACACCAGATAAACTCTGGTATATTCACACAATGGGATTCTCAATAAAATAAATGTGCTACAGCCAAATACACAACATGGAAAATCTCAACCATAATGTTGAGGGAAAAGCAAAATAAACAAAACAGTCAGTATGGTGCTAATTATATCATGTTCAAAAATAGGCAAAACCTAACTTTATGATATAAAGAAAAACATATACATATTAAGGCTGTACACAAAAGCAAGAAAATGATTCCTATTAAAAGTATGGATTAGGGGAGCTCTGGGAGGAAGGGGGATGAATAAGTAGAAATTACAAGGGATTTCACTTTAAACAACCTGTCAAACTCCACTTTTCTGTATTCATAGTTCTCAGTTTTAAGAAATGTTAAAACCACACTCCAAAAACATTTTAAAACAAACAACTTTTCTCATGAACCTACTTTAGGATGTGCTTCACCAAAATGAAGTAGTAAAAGAAGAAAGATGAGAGAGATGATAGAGAAGAAAAGGAAATCTCCTAGATGATTTTAGAAGCCTGAACAACAAATAGTTCAGATCAGAACAGGATTAAAGGCTCCAGGAAGTTATTCCCCAAAGGAAAAACAAAAAAAACAGACAGACTACAGATGCTGAGAAGTGATTTACCGTTTCAATGGAAAGGAACAGGATAAGAAAACTAAAGAAGTTGATTATTAAATCTGAGGAAAAGCTATGAACACAATCCATCATCATCTATAATAGTAAAAGTGTAATATGCTAATTAGACGAGATGTCCTTCCGGATGAAGCCGGAGCTGTGAGGGAAGCCTGGGTCCCGGGTGCCAGAGGGAAACCAGTGCCAGCAGCTGGGGGAAGGAAGGCCTACTCTTGCATGAATTTCGTGCATCAGGCCTCTAGTAGGAATATAAGCACTGAATAATGATTCAATTGTAGAGATGATGTAACTATATCAGAAAGATGCAGGGAGAAGGACATGCAAAACAGTGGCTTTTCAAGAGAGCTAAATCTTCATCTTCCATTGCAGGAGCTTAATAGATACCTCAAACTGAAATTCAAGAAACAGTATAAACACATAATTTAGAAATATTAAGGTCAGTATTAGAAGAAATAGCTTTAAAAAGTTGAAAGTGTTTGTCTCAGGAGAACAGAAACCAGTACTGATAAGGGCCATGGTGGAAAACTGCCAACTGTTAACAGCTTTGCAATATTATATTTTAAAAATTTTCATTTAATAAATGTTTTACATGTATTCAATTTGATAAAATTAAAATTCGGTGGTGATTAACTGTTCCACAAACAATCCACATATTGAATACCCCAACAGTTTCAAACCTGTTATTGACAATCATGTTAACCCACTTACATTACAGATTAAAAGAAAAAACAGCTTCTCTTTCTAAACTCATATGAACATAACTAATTTGGAATCTGAAAAGTAACAACTAATTATATGGTCTTTTCCTGTGAAAAGCACCTAGTAAATCATAACTTAATGTGCATGCAAAACATAATAAACTTATCAACAGCTTAAAAATATAATCAAAATATAGAAATTGTTACCTTGTAAAAGTTTCCATATGACTTTCGAATATTGATCCACTTTTTAGCAAAAGGAGGATATTTGAGCCTGCTGAGCCGGCACTGAATGTTCAGGAACTTACTCATATCCCACGAACTTGTAAATCAAAAATAGGAAATAAATGGATAAAATAAATGCTATACTATATTTATAAATGAGTATTTTAACTCATTCTGTTTTTTATTTACACGACACCTTTCTTTCTTATATTTACACATAACATAGAGCTTAGGAAATTAAAATCTCTTCTTCTAAAATACTAATTCAAAAATAAACTAACAAAAAATAATAAGTTGGGTATATCAAATTTTTTTCACAATCTATTAGAGTTATCTTGATTATTTTTATGGTTCTGATTATCTAGGCAAACCTCTATCTTGTTGAGTATTTTTTCATAATTCTAAAATAATTCTGCTAAGCTTACTTTTAGTGTCAGGTTTATCATATTGGGAAGTTTTGTGAGGGTATATTTTGAAATACAACAAAAACAAATGAACAAAATACCTGAAAGACATAAAAGGAGCTGGTATCAGGTAGTTAGAATACAATTTGGTCTGTTACAGTATGTTCCTAAAATACTAATCAACCTGTGTAATTAAATAGGAGAATATGGACTGTATAATGCGGAAACTGTGTTGGTTTAATACGTGGGTTTTACTAGCCAGAGGGAGTCAGAATGATAGCAGTCAAACTTATAACCTTCAGCAGAAAAAAAAACAAAACAACTCTCAACTCAGCTACTGTACCAGCAACAGGAGTACTTTCAAATGTATTTTAAGAAAATTAAAAATAAGTGCCTGTCCCAGAATCCCATTGCTTCCATGTGTAATATCCTCTCATGCAACTTCAGTAAAGTCCCCACCTACGGAGATGCTTGCCTGGCTGTCCAAATTACGTCTGGAGTTATCAATTACTGCCTTTATTAGTGCTCTGGTTAATTGCACAGGTTATGAATGGTCTGTCCCAGAATGTGAGGTTTTTACAGAATCGCACACACTGTCACAACAAAAACATCTGTATACTTGAGCAGGAACACTGATCATTCGTGTTTGAAATCAATGAGATTTCTAAAGAGGTCCATCAACATTTTCCCATGCATTGTTAAAACATCATTACAATGTGATTAAAAGCAATGCTCTTTCCTTGTTGTATGTAAGGGTCTCTAAACCCTTTATGTAGGTGACATCATAGCTGTAGTGTACAATCTGTCCACAGTTTGAAACAGAAGTTGTTTAGAACTTCCTTCTTGAACCTGAATAGCATTATGGGAGGAGCTGCCTTGGCACAGCTTCTTTTGATGTTCCTCATTTCCCAGTTAGTCTTTCATTTCACAAATGCCTTTGGAGCATACATGTTTAACTCAACACTACAGTAAGCGCTATATGAAAGACCACCAAGTAGCCAAAGTCCCTGCTCTGAGAGGATTTTTAATCTCTTTGCAAACATAAGTCTTATGTACACAAAGTTTAGATATCAGAATATTTAGTCAGATGTTAATATGAATGGTACACATCAGAGAGGTTTTTATATGATTTCAAGAAAAAAAGAATCAATGTCAATTGGAGTGTCTGGAGTAAACATGTGGTAGGCTTTGAATAATAACAAAGAAGCGGTAAAGGAAGAGAGCCTTCCAGTAGAGAGAAAAGCGTAAGTACATAGAAAAGGATAAACCATGTGATCCATGGGCCAGCCTGACTAAAGTAAAAAAGAATGGCAGGTACCTTAGCTACACAGGGAGGGCAACATTAGATGAGAGATCCTTGAACCCAAGACTGAAGAGTTGGACTTTTCTGAGCAAGAAAGTGTCCTTATGTGAAACAGTTTTAGTTTCACATATTAATATGTATCTTTTTCTATCCTTCCAGTCTTGGATTAGACTGTTTTTCATTGCTTTCAATGATAACAAAAGGAAAAATATTGTCTCCTTTAGTAAAGAACATTCTTATGGTTATTCTAAAAGTTAAATAAGGACATCCTTAATCTTAAAAAGTAGATAAAAGTATTATAAATTTTCCTACTTACCCATCTGTTAATATGCAATACTTATACTTTGTTCCTAATTCCTTCAATTTCATCCAGTCAATTACTTTTTTCAGTACCTGAGGGAAGGTATCAGCTCTGTCTACCTGATCCTGAGGATATAAAAGTAAAATACACAAAAATCAGAGTAGCAACAGGTAGTCATACAAAATACCCAGACACAAACACTGGAGGGAAAGGAACAGAATGAGAGTCTTATCTATGATGTTTTAAATTCTTCATGATTTCCTTGGCTGAGATACACCTAACATTTCATTTTTAAGATAATTAAAAATTGTTTCTAGCCAAGTATTAGGGACTACTTTCAAGTGAAGCACATAATCCTCCCAAAATTAAGACTTAAGATCATCCTCAATGGTTCTCTTTTTTGTAGACCTCAACCTAGCAGCTTACCAATTCTCTGGAGTAGAGAAAAGGGAAATCTCTTCTCGCTGAAAGCCATAGCCCTCTACACTAATCTATCTCAAAGCTCACATCTTTCTACCACATACTACATACCACTGCCAAACTGATCTTCCTAAAATGTAAATCTTACCCATCACATCACTTTCATACTTAAAATCCTCCAAACACTCTCCAAGGCTTTCAGGATAAAAAGACACACAAGACTCTTCATAACATGGCATGTCTCAGCTACCACTTTAGGTTTATGTGGGAGCATATGCCTGTGAACATCATGAACTACTTACAATCCTGCTGTTACACCTAAAATGCCCATTCTTTTCCACCTACTGACCTATCATGACTCAGCCCAAGTTCACCAACGTGAGCAAGTTTCTCCCAGGACAGCCCCTCTGTCACAGGAAGCCCTTTTCTTAGATGCCTAAGATACCCTGATGAAACACTAACTTACTTGTCAGCCTTCCTAACCATATTGTGACCACTGGTTTCTTCTTTGTGTCCTCCTGAATATAGATTGTTAACTGAACTGAGAGAGAGACTGACTTGACCATCTTTGTAGCCCTAGTACCTTGGCAAATAGTATAGTAGGCTCTCAAATATTTGTTGAGTGAGTGAATGAATGAATAAATAAAGGAACTAAATAAATGAACAAAGGGCCTACCACATTAGAATACAACCAGAAATCAGAGACTAAAAAAATTAACTATACTGTATATAAAGTCAGGTTGATAACAGATATATTTTTAAACTTTAGCCCCAAGTTCAGCACAGTAACACTTATTTTACTAACACTGCAAACAAATGAATCTTTAGATTCATCATTACAACTCCTTCAAAGGAAAAGTTGAGAAAAATTTTAGATACAGAATTTGCTTTTCTATTTCTTAAACATTACAATATGAAAAATCTTTACCAAGCAAAGTACCTATTAACTTAAACTATGAAATAAATCGCTAATTTCAAAACAATTTTCAAACTCCTGAAAAAGGAACATAGAATTATAACCTGAGTAATTCCAGTTAAATTGATGCAGAAATCAGAAAGCTGGGTGTTAACCTCTGGTCTCACATACTGCTGAAACGTATCTTCCTATAAGGAAAGGACAGCAAGTTAATGTCTTTTTATGACTTAAGATACGTGACACATGATACGTAACAAATACAACCACATAAGATTATAACTATAGGTGCTTATGGCATAGAACTTCTAGTTTTAACAATTTAAGGGTACTTCCCTGTTCCCAAAGCACTCTGATTTTCCCCCTTATAATCCATTTTAATTAAGGCAGCACTGATAAATTCTCCAGAAACACTGATTTTTTATTTTAAAAATTATGTTTCAGTTTTAAAATTTTTACAATAAAGCAAGTGTCTGCAAGCAAGCCAGCAAACTGAAGTTTAAATAAACATTTTCCAGAGAAACATGATGTAGATAATTTTGTTTGTAATATTTTGAAACTGTCAGACTATTAAATGCAACCTCTAATTCAAGATACTAAAAGCTTTTTAAATTATAATTCCTTTAAATACCAGTCTTCAGTTAAAATAAATTACCTCCAGACTACTGCTAACTCATTTACTCAATAGTCATTATACTAAGATTCCATTAAACTGAACTCTGAAGTCAAAATTTGACTCTATGATATCTCATAGTGTTGGGAGTAACTTTTGAGTAGATGAAATGTTATGATATATTATCTCTCAGATTTTACAAGGTGAACAATATTATTATGGAGAATTCCTGCTGACTTCCTGAACTAGTAACACAGATAACTAGTATCTAAAGCACATACATATTCACATGGCTAAGAAGCCTAGGTTATGAGAGTTGTTTCCCCCATAAACTTATCACCAGAAAGATGGCCAGTTCTAAGTTGAAAGGTGATTTCTGTAAATTATCATTTTCAGAGATCAGAGGATACATTAGCCTATAGCAGTGGTTCTCAACCCTGACTGCATATTAACTGAGCTTTAAAAATTATTGACGTCAGGGACCCCAGCATAAAACAACTAATCCAGAATCTCTGGGATAAGGGCCAGGCATCAGCACTTTTTTTCACAACCCAGGAGATTCTGAAGTCTAGCCAGATATGTGTTCTAAGCAAACAGAAAAAACACTATAATTTTAGCTACTGGAAAAAGAGAAAGCAGACTCTAAAATATTTTATTATAGCTTTTCTATTAATCAAGCTGATACAAAGCACACAGCGAGAGCAAAAGGCCCACTTAGAATTCTAATTCTAGCTGAAACAGCAATTGAGATCCTTTGCCTTACTAACCAATCCCAGAATAGTTACTGCTAAAAGTAAAATTAAAATATAACAATTCACTTACTATTTCTAAGGTACCAGTATTCAGTAAAACAACAGGAAATTCAATTATTTCATGTATGAACTCGGGTGGGTTACCCTCTTCACAAGTGGCTTCAAAGTCAATAATACAAATGTAGTCGTAGTAACTGTCAGCACAATTGTCCTCTTTCAACATCAGCTTCTGCTTCTTATAATAGTTTTTCAGCCTCTTCTTTAGTACATCCTTTACTCCTCTAGGGAAAATAATAAAATTAACTCTTAGGTGAATTTCATGGTCAAGAATCTGAACTCTTACCTGATGTCACTGGACTGAACACCTACAGTGACAGCATAATTTAGTAAATGTTAACTAAAATAAATGTAAAGAAAACAAGACTCAAAGCTCATTTAGCAAAGAACAAATTAAAATATTATGTTTAATACAGCATCAATATTTTCTTTTGCCAATACCTTTTCATTTTGTAGTATTTTTTCTTCAATATATTCTAGTACTTCGAACCGTAAGCCTTGCCAGCATACACCACCCACATAGCCATATTGTTTTAAGATTAAGATGACATACATGACACAAAAACTGAAAATAATATTGACTTATTCTACTAGCCAAATATAAATTTCAGAGTATAAAATTTCAAGTAAATTGAACATATTGTGCTATCTCTTTCTTTTGGTTTTTGCACATTAAACAACTAAAAAAATCCATATGAATATGAAAACATATGTGCCTAGTATATAAACCTGAATATCTGTTAATTAACTAGAAAAACTAATTCAGAAGGCACCTTAGGCCCTGGCAGGGTAGTTCAGTCGGGAGCAGCATCCCGATTCGCCTAGGGCAGTGATGGCGAACCTATGACACGCGTGGCGGAGCAGCATCCAGATTCGCCTAGGGCAGTGATGGCGAACCTATGACTCCTCTGGCACGCGAACTCGTTTTTTTGGTTGATTTTTCTTTGTTAAATGGCATTTAAATATATAAAATAAATATCAAAAATATAAGTCTTTGTTTTACTATGGTTGCAAATATCAAAAATTTTCTGTATGTGACACGGCACCAGAGTTAAGTTAGGGTTTTTCAAAATGCTGACACGCCGAGCTCAAAAGGTTCGCCATCACTGGCCTAGGTCACGGTTCAATCTCAAGTCAGAGCACATACAAGACTTAACCAATGAATGCTATTTATGTTCCACTTATTTATAGTGGAACAACAAATCAATATTTCTCTCTCAAAATCAATACATTAAAAAAAAAGATACCCTAGAGCAGTGATGGTGAACCTTTTGAGCTCGGCGTGTCAGCATTTTGAAAAACCCTAACTTAATTCTGGTGCGTGTCACATACAGAAAATTTTTGATATTTGCAACCATAGTAAAACAAAGACTTATATTTTTGATATTTATTTTATATATTTAAATGCCATTTAACAAAGAAAAACCAAAAAAAATGAGTTTGTGTGTCACCTCTGACACGCGTGTCATAGGTTCGCCATCACTGCCCTAGGCGAATCGGGATGCTGCTCCCGACTGAACTACCCTGCCAGGGCCTAAGGTGCCTTCTGAATTAGTTTTTCTAGTTAATTAACAGATATTCAGGTTTATATACTAGGCACATATGTTTTCATATTCATATGGATTTTTTTAGTTGTTTAATGTGCAAAAACCAAAAGAAAGAGATAGCACAATATGTTCAATTTACTTGAAATTTTATACCAGAAAAACATTATGATACTCAGTAAGTTCTTAATTAGATGTAGCTTTCTTAATTTACCATGGATAGAATATGATTTAGTAGATTTCAGTATTACAGGTATTTTTAAAATACATGTTCCAAAAATGGGGGGTGGGAAATGCTTGTTCTAAATAGGTAACAATGGCTGGTAATGGTGGTCTCCCACGTTCTTCAAACAGTATGTATTTCTTCAAAAAAATTAAGAGTAACAACCAGTGCTCAGACTTCCCTCAGTACCTATTGGTTGAGTCCTATAAATGGCTTGCAAATGCATAATGGCAGTAAAAAAGAGATCTTATTAATTAATGTGTAAGGACAAGTAAGGTATTTTGGTCACATCAGCAATTAGTGACTACTAAAAAAAATGTTTTTAACTTTTATTTTCCTTTCTAAACTACCACTGAAAAGCAACCCTGCCCATGAAAATATTGATAATTAACCAGTTAGTTGTTTTAAAATGAAATACCTTAATATATTTATTTATTGGCT